GACACTTCAGACACAGAGGTCTCAATAAAGGCTGAATTATTTAATTTGATAGAATGGGAGTCTATCTGTTCTGTAAGAACAATACTTCTGGATTCAACTGGCCTTTATGGTTCTTTTTTTGTTTGTCTATTTTCTCTGGTGCGACAGAGGAATAACTTATTGTTGGTCTACAAAAAGATCCCATTTATACCTGGTGTTAAAATGCAATCTGTATTCAGATGATCCATCCATCCATCCATTATCTATACACCGTTTAATCTTCACTAGGGTCACGGACTTAGGACGACGACAGGGGACACCCTGGACAGGTCACCAGTCCATCACAGGGCTGCACTTAAAGACAGACAACCAAGCACACTCACATTCACACCTACGGACAATTTAGAATCACCAATTAACCTCAACATGTTTTGGACTGTGTGGGAGGAAGCCGGAGAACCTGGAGAGAACCCACACTGCACGGGGAGAACACGCAAACTCCATGCAGAAAGATCCCTGGTGTACTCACCGGGATGCAAAATGGCGACCTTCTTGCTGCGAGGCAACGGTGCTAACCACCAACCCACCTTGCAGCCCTATTCAGATAATGTATGTGGATAAAGATAAATGCATCTTAAAGTGTAAATGCACAGAGGACGCAGTGGGTCTGGAATATGATTGGCTCATCAGTCTCCATGTGGAGGTGATCAAGCTCATGTAGTGATCAGATGTCAGTAGGTGCAAATGAGTCCGTACAACACGACCACGTTCAGGAGAATACGTCCAATGTGCAAACTGAAAGATTACATATAATGCTGCCTCTTTCTGCTAGTTCAGACAACCTGGAAAAGAGCTACAGGTTGTGGCTGTAACGCTGGCTGAGCTTGTACAGAAGCATTCTATCTGATTTGATGCTCCATGTTCATTGATATGTCAGCCTAACCGATTTGCACACTGAGACTGGATCAAATTGCGACCTCAATCTAGAACGCATTTTAATACCAGGAACAGATGCAAAGACAGATTATTCGGATGCCAGTTTCCAAATAAGGTATTCACATACAGATCACATGTTGATGCCATTTGAACATGGGGCCTAAAAGTGGGCATGAAACAGCTACAACACTAACACCATTGACAAGTGAGGTCTATAACACTGATCATCTCGATACAGTGCAAGGACACCTCGGTCCCTGGCATTTATGTGGACGATGACATGTATAACTATTTGAACATAGCTGCAGAACAAGGCATAGACTGTATATAAAAGACAGACGTAGTCTCTGGATTGGAAAAGTGAAACCATCGCTGATGTGCCTTAAAACTGCATTCTTTCTAACAGCCAGCAGGGGACAAACAAGTTTAACTCTATAGATGTCTATGAGAAAATAACATAAAACATATTCCTTGATCTCTTGTCTCAGCAAACATTTTTCAAGTAAATTTACCAGTCTCTAGTTTTAAGAATTTTTTTTAATACAGCATGATGTTCATTTAGTAAATTATGGCTCCATTTAGAGGAAAACTCAAGATAAAGTCGAGTATGTTTTAGGGGCTACCTTCTGTTAAACACGTCACTATCACATCACTGTACAGTGTCCTTGAGTTAGGGTTAGATCAGTCATTACGTCTGGTTTCAAAAGACCAAGACGGCAGCCAAGACATTCCAAACTCAAGACTTCAAAACAGAATAAACTGTCATGGTCGCTACATCCATTTTATATGGACAATCTATGGACTGAGCAAACACAACATTGGGAGATAGATTCCCCGGCACCAGCAAAGCAGCATCCCCCAGAAGGACAAATGTGTTCAGGAATTACTTGACAAACACAACCAAGAGCCCAAGGCATTGACTCTGCTCAGCCTCCAAACTCCCAATTTGATCAAACATCTTTGGGATACGCTGGATGATATGCCATCCACAGAGGCCTCACCGCACAACCACAGGACCCAAAGGATCCACTGCCAACATCCGACACTTCTAAAGGTCCCATGTCAACGCTCTGATGAGTCAGAGTTGTTTGAGCAGCACAAGGAGAAACTACATTACGTTAGGAAGGTGATTTTAATGTTGTCGATGATTGGTGCCCATCACACTGTAGAGAAATAGGGATGAACAGAAACGTGGCACAAAAAAGCCTCTTCTACTCATAGCATGTGAACAGCTAGTGTAGGATCAACATGGTTCACTTTGATAAGAACACACTAAATCACAGGAACAGGACATTCCTTCTCAGGGAAAATATCAGTACCTTTGTGATGACCTGCAAACCTGTTCTGTCAGTTTCACAAAGATTAAATGGAAATTCACAACAGGAATGTGCGAAATCTCCCTTCTGTTATTGGCAGGTGGTATAGACTGCATAAAAAGTTGGAAGTGAAGCCAAAATATGGTCCCTTGGTGGCTGGTTGCAGTAGAGGCCATAAACTCTAGCGTCTCCATATTAGCTGTGAGACCTGAGCCAAACTGAAAGAATCTAAATGCACCTCAAATATATTTTTCCCCAACAAAGCTTTGGTTATATGAATCATTCAGTTATTATCTCCTGCAACAGGCTGCTATACTAAAGAAAATATAGATTTCGAGAATTCTAAACAAAATTTGGCAAATAAAATGTCAGAGATGTGTCTAAAAAAGACTCAGTATTTACACAAATGAGTCAAAAGGACAATCATACTATTACTAATATCACGCAGAGGTTCATTGTCACTCTGTCTGCGTAACTGGTGCTCACTGCAGCTGAAAAACCTTCACTTTCTAACCTTTATTACATCGTCACGTCAAAGACATACGAGAGTTGCCAAGAGAGGATATTAGTATCATCACTCAGGTTTTACAGTGAGTTCACTCAGGGATAGTAAACACTGACTATGCTGCTATTTCTGCAGAACAGAGGAGGGTATTAAGCTCTGTGTGTGTGTGTGTGTGTATGTGTGTGTGTGTGTGTGTGCGCGCGTTCAGGGAGGCACTGAGTGGTGATTGTGTTGACAGAAACAAGGCACTATCGGCAGCATCAGTCCTTCAAGGCCCCGCTGTACGCCGTCTCTCTCTGGTACCGCGACCACTACGGACACTGAGTGAACATTTAACTCGATTAGAGTCAGATGAAATCGCGGAGGTGTCATTCTTAGATAGAACACAACTTCGCTTGCTATCTGTTTCACAACAAAAACTGCTTTATTGATTGACTGCATTGTGTATTTTTGGACCACGGGAGGAAAACCTTTTGGTGCCAAAAGACGGATTAAAAGTGCAAAATAAAGCATTTTAAAGAGAACACTGCCAATAGAATAGTAGTACTAGTAGCCCTGCTAGCAAACAGAAGTGTCATTTGTGGCTGATGTGGTGCATAAATTAACAATGAAATACAAATATCTGCACACATATTGTACCTGTCTTAGTCATAAAACATACAGGGCATTGGTGAGAGAAAATGCCCTGATTTGCCTAAATTCTACTGCTAGATATTAATATTAATTTGGTGGAGGGGGAGAGACTAGAAACATAAGATGAGATGAAAAGGACAGGTGTATGTCAATGTTCTATAAGCAAGACGTGTGCTTTTAAACCTTTTGTTGCAGTTTGTGCCAAATATCGCACCGTGTCTCTGAGTCACACAAGTCCAATCTAAACACACAGACATGATGCTTATATTTAGATTCAGTGTGGCTTACACTTTCTAGGAATACCATAATCTCTAATGTCCATCAAGAATACTTATATGTAAACCCATGTAGAAATCAAGACATGACAGAACTTCTCTAAAATCACCACGTAAACAGGACTCAAGTTGCAGCTGTGTGCAAACAGAAGTGAGGGTGTGTTGTCATGATTTTGTCTCAGTGGGGGGCTACAGTGTAGTAAATGTTTTGGCCTGTTGCTTTCTGGTGATGAGACAGAAACCCAGAGTCTGGATATACTCTGCGTCCTGCGTTACCAGCACTGTGCATTAATTCGAAGGAGGGTTGGACTGATAGTCGATTTAAGTCAAAACCGTCAATTGAAACAATGCAGTTCTTAAATCACAAATGCAGTTTGTAAATCACATTTTAAACCTATTACACGGTGAATATTGAAGTAAAGCTTGACTTTAAAAAATGATATCAGAAATCAAATCACAATCTCTTTCAGGAAAATCATAATTAGGTGTTTTCCTGAAATCGTCCAGCTGGCCTGATTCTTTCTCTTACTTCACATAGGACATTTCTACTTAGAGTTTATTTTGTATTTTATATTCTCTTACTGTTTATTTTTGCTTATTTATCTGTATTTATTTTGGTGTTAAGCTTACTCTTCATCAAATTTCCCCTCAGGGATTAATCAAGTATTTCTATTCTATTCTTAAGGCAAAATTACACCGAAAACACTTACACAATTTAACAAGTTCACACTGCTTGATTAATTTGTACATTAACAGATATGAAAAACTACAGATTATGGTTCAAGGGAAAGTGATGTTCAGGAGTCATTTCTTGGCAAACAACTGCCACCCACAGTATCTGTGAGCAGCTTCCTGCAGTCTGATCGCTGCAGTACGGCTGCCAGACACCACACAGATTCACTGTATGCTCCATATGAATCAATTTTTCTATATCAGGCAATACTTCTGTCCTATAATAGGCAGCTACGGCTCAGGTGGTCGAGCAGGTCTTTCACTAATCACAATGCTGGCAGTTCAATCTAAAGCCCCTCCATGTGCCAAAGTGACAATGGGCAAGACACGGAAGTTGCTTCTTATGGATTGCATGGAAGCTTTGCCGCAACTGGTGGGAATCAGTGTTACTTCACATTTCTGTTCACGGACAATTCAAGCAATGCAGAAGCTTTGGTAGCGTTTTTGGTAGACATATTTAGTCACTTCTCGATCCTGACAGGCAAACCATGTACTGGCTCCAGCTTGTGTTTTTTTTTTTCTTTGCCAGACATGAGATTGATATAACTAGTCACAGCAGTTATATAAAATGTCCACCAATTGCAGTTAATAGGTGCAAGCTGTCTACATTTGAGTTTCTCCTACCGTTGTTTGTGGTGTTGACGTAGTATCGCCGCCCTTGTGGAGACATGTAGCACCTCCACTGAGGAGGCAGGGGGTCTCTGAGGTCCTCCACAGGAAGCTGACTCAGAGACGCTGTCCTCTGTAGAAACAGAAAAGGCAATAAATGTCTCATAAATGGCTCATTGGCACAATATTAGCTCCAAGACAAAGATTTGCATCTCAAGTGTCTCTCGTAATTGACATAATTGCTGGAAATAAACACATAAAAGAAGATAGACCGAATCCGGTGGAGATCAGGCTACACCGCTGATGCAGTGCAAATGTGCAGCACTCACTCTGGGTTCAATGAGGTTCTCATTTCCTCAAGTATTTCACAACCAGCAACCAATGACATCATAGCAGGGCAGGCTGAGCTGCTGCTGCTGCCACTGCCACACAAACAACTACAAACTGGCGTAGCTCTGTAGTTGGTCTGAGACCCGGAGCTCCAGAGTCAGCATATGTGCACACAACATACAGCTGAGGAACAAGAGAGAGCATGTACGCCAGCTGCACACATCTGCTATCGATTAGCAGGAAAACAACGGGCTGAGACTATTGTAACACATTGTGGAGATGCTGTTTGAAGACCTGGGAGAGCCAGATGAAATTCCAGCTGCAATCAGCTACAGTTCTTTCACTGGGGTCCATGAAAGTCTGGCATGACGAGGTTCGTTTTAGGAACTGCAGGGAAACTTAATCCGGCCTCTGCAGGATAGATATGTCTTTAATTGAATACAGTTAGAGAAGGACGAGGCTTTATAGCGTTTATAGACATAACTGACCGTTTGCTAAACCCCATCTTTGAACAATGACTGGAAGACCTTCCAAGGTTGGATTTTTCCTCATGCTGAAATCTGGATTTAGAGCGAGTGGAGGGTGGGGCCTTTTTCAGCTGTTCCAAAACCAAAAATATAAAAGCGCTTGTGCAGTTAAATGCAAATGTTTGCATGTTCTGCTAGCTAGCACAGTAAAGAACCTCTGCTTCCAAGGCCAAAGAATCCAGCCCAATTCATGCATCCTAAATCTGTGTTTCTGCAAGAGGACCATGTTGGCACAACACCAGGAACACAAATGGTGTTTTAAACAAATGTTTGTTATGAGGAGAAACTGTACGAAGGGATTCTCTGTCATCTCATTCACACCTTTATAATTCACCTTTAATAGCGCTGCACTTGAAGTGGTCACTGCGGGACGTGAACATGCTTTGATGTGTATGTGCTTATCTGTAGAACATAATGTTCTGGCTGCACCACATTATCATTCTGCTATACAGGAAACAAACGTCCCGGTTTGTTTGTATTTCTTTAAACCAGTCACAGTAGTCGTAGGTGGGGCTAAGCAAAGGATGCAGCTTTGGTGTTCCCTCAAAATAGTGATGGGTGGAATTGTTGTGGTGGAACATTTGTAGTCAGTGAGACAAGCACTGTAATTAAAATGGATAATCCACTGAAAAAAAATGGGCAGAGCTGCCTTACTGCATTATCCAAATCCTTTGGAAAACTTTCAGTTTCAGTTTCAGTTTCAGTGCGGTAGGTTGCTGTTGTTGTTTCCTGGGGTGAAGAAAATGCTAACACACAGACAGTGGAAGAGGGACAGAATGCCAACTGAAATGATCTCCCAATGACAGGCTTATACCCACAACCTGTGGGTACAATCCTGTGCTCTGTCCACCCACTGTGCTCAGTGCACTTCAGGAATAATTCCATAGACACAGTTATACCGCCCGATCTGCAGCTGGCTACTAGATCCTGTTAAAAGTCAAATCCAGCATTTTAGACACATCCACCATAACCCTGTTTGTTTCTCTGTGACATAAATGCGACCATCTGTGCAGCAGAACAACACATACCTAATGTATGCTCCATTAGGTAGGCGTTGAAAAAAAAAACACGTCTGTGTCCGCTGACCATTTTCAACATCGGTCATATGAAAACTGTTATTCAGCCCTAAAGCCAGTGCTATAGTTTCCGCAAGAGTACGCAAGAGCTCGCATGACGTAAATCTAATCATCTCCCCAAGTCTGTTAGAGTCCACACAGACCCCTTTATGAACGTGGCACAAAATTTGTAGCCACGGCGACAGTCTACACATTCGCTACCCTACAAGGGCAGTAGTGCACATACTCGTCACGAGTGTGCATGTGCGAAATACGTAGAGACAGAGTTCTCCCAGCAGGCCCAGGTAGACTACAAAAGTTAGCACAATAGCAAAAACGACACATCCGGTTTGTCTGTAGCTGCCCATGTGTGCGTCTGCAAGAGAGTTTCATCAAAGGTTATCACTCCATTACTTTTAGAGTTGCATCCCATTTACAGAACCACATTCAGTAGATTTCTTTGTTCCTGTAATGCTGTTTTTTGAGAGTCGAGGCTAGTAATAGCTGGACTGCCCTGCTTTTTTATTAGATTTCTTATTACGCTTTATTAGATTTGGGGACTTTAACACTCTAGCAACCACAACAAAATTGATAGTGTTCACCAGAGACACTGGTTAGTCTTCACCTTGTAAACTTTTTCAAGAATACCAATAGGAATGCAAACTAAAGTTCAAACAATAAGCAGAAATCTAACCTCGATATTGTCAAGCATGTAAGCTAACGACATAAGTTTAAATTGAAATGCCAGGAGGATATTACATATTTTCCTAACATACTTGAAGCACCAATGCCTTATCTTTATTTCTAAATCCTCTACACAGATCATCTGGTGGTGATGCTAACTTTTAACCCGCCTCATGTGGCCCCATTAAAACATCAACTCATGAAGCCAATGTTTGCTGAATTATCTAACAAGTCATGACTGATTAAATCTGCAAATCATTTCAGCCATGAGAATCACTAGTCGCTGGCTAAAGATGAGAAGCCCTGTTTTGCTAACATCTGTCTGAAATCAAAGTACTGTTGGTCAAAATGAGCTAAGAGGTCTGAGAGGTAAACCAGGCAATATTATCTGTGCAGACGTGACGACAAGAAATGTGAAGTTTAACAGGTGCAGCAATGTACCTGAGGGGAGCAGTGTTTGTGCTAGACTCGTAGGTTCTGGGTCAGTTCAGGTGTATGCATGAGAATATGATAACAACAAATTGTGGGGAATGAGGAAACCAGTAAAAGGTGGATCTAATTGTGTTGGATGTCTGAATTCACAAAACAGGAATGCTCTTCATTATCCTTCTAGTCACCTGGGGAAGAACGGAACATCTCAGCTCTAAACAAACATTTCCTAATAGATATTTACTACCTCATCAACCAATTTTAGTGGTAATCGATTGGCAGTATTTATTGATTTAAGCACAAACTGTCCCTGCACATAAAAGCTGCATCACCTCGGAGAATGAAGTCATTATGTGTAACTGCTGCCCTCGCTGGAAAGAGCTGGAAGGGATGGAACTCAGACCTCTCTGTTCCCACAGGACTGGAGAGTATGAACACATGTCAACCCCGGCTGACTTATGACTGCATGTAATTACACAGTATCCGACAGCATCTCAGCGATGTTTTCTCTTTGATGGTCTCGGCGGTCACTGTTATATTTGTCCTTCGTGTGTCTTTGAAAAGCGAATTTGCCTAAATAGTCCAGTAATTTCCCACAGCAGTGAAAAGTGGTCATGGATGTAACAATGGATGAACAACGTGCCACGGAAGAAAATTCAGAGCCATTTCAAATCATGGCAGTGACACACAATCACGTGGTTAAGTACTGAAAAAGAAATGGAGGGAGAAAAAGTCAATGCTGAAGCCAAACCACAGATACAGTTACACTAGAGCTAAGTGCTGCCTTACATGACTGTGACTGCAGAGGAAAGATGCCCTTTGCTTCATCCACACATGTTGTTTCCAAGTCAAACAACATGTGCTATTGCACATTTATTGTCACTGTTTTAGTGTTTAAGTGTGAGAACAAGACAAGAGCAGACGATGCACGAAAGCTGTGAAGGATTGGCCTGCTGTCATGTGATGTATACAGTGTGTTCCCAGCTTTGCTTTCTCTCTCTAATCATTTCAGTGCATTGTTATTTAGTCTTTGCTGCACACTGACCCTCAGGCCTCTGTCTGGGTGTCCAGATAGTAATTAAGCATGAGGTGAAAATGCCTGTCTAAGCAAACCTGCTAAATGATCCAGTACCACCATCCTACATGGAACAGTCCTGCACAGCCGTGCAGGTTGTTGCTGAATTTGTAATAATCATAAAACATATAAATGAAACTGACAATTACTGAGATTGAGACAAGAAGATCTAAACCAATCACAGGTGCATTTTGTAAAGAGCTGCAGTTACAACATGATTAGCTTAGCTTAGCATAAAGACTGAAAGTAGGTGCAAACAACAAGACGTACAACATGCATGAGTATAAAAGACGGTGTCTTTTTCAGCCTTTCCAAAAACCCGAACTGTTGGAGTAGTTGTGCGTGAAATAGATTAAACTGTGTAATCATTAGCATGAAACAAACTGCATTAGCGGAGCAGTTCTAACACTGTCTGTACACAGCCATGCTGTCTTGACTGCTTTGTCCAGACTCCTGTAATCTATACGGAGAAGAGGGAATACAGGCCGAGAGTGATTTGGTTGAGGGTCACTTGGGGATGGACAGAAAACACGGTTGCACAGGATGCACTGTTGATATGTGGAACGAACCACTGAACTGAGACAGTTCACTCAGTTATTTGTGTGTTATGGATGACGCAGTCAGGAAGCGGGTTACTGTCCTAAAAGCAGCTGGCTCACAGGATACGCAGTGTATCTGCAGAGGGTACGAGGCCAGGACCCTCTAACCTCAGGCTCATTGGCCCTGCCCCCACGTTAATGTTGGTCATTGCTGAGTTCCAGAGAGAGACAAGCTGCTAGGTTCTGAAGCAGAACCTCTATGGGTTACCCAATAGTGCTTGTTATGTGATGTACTCACAGAACCTGAGGTACATCCAGTAGCTATTGTTTTCGGCCACGCCAGCAAAATAATGCCTTGCAAATTATGGTGATTCATTACATTCACATAAAAATGAATATTGCCATGAAGCAGTTCTGCACATTGAACTGCAACATCGTCCACAACGGCCTTGGTGCGTTCAGGAAAGCAAAATTTATGACAGCAGATAAATTCA